TCATCGTAGCTCCGATTAGAGTGCTTTTTATGTTTGTGTGCTCGTAGCGATATGTAGATTAGTTTTCAAACCTTTTTATTGATTGGTGTACTATTCTAATTTAGTCATATTTGTCTATTATGCATGTCTATTCGGATGCTTGTGTGGTGCTTTATGATATTGTCTAGTCAGTGAGCTTTACGTGGTGATTAAGAAGGAGTTCCTTTGAAGCTTTGGACTAGAAGAAACATCTATGTTTAAGACAAGTATAGCAAGGGATTATCCTTGTTGTCCTATTCACTTTAATAACTTAATCATATGCATGTGTCTACCTTGACAACCGTAGTAATTTTTCTAACTATTTGATATCCTGGATTACTTGTCACCTATGGGTTACTACATTGGGTAGTATGATGCTAGTGCTCAACTAAAGCCATAATCTTATAACTTGACTAATGGAATATGCAATAAACACTAAAAGATGACTTTTTAGCAACATGGTTAAAGGGGCTAGAGTGTTTGGCTACTTTCTAGATGCTCTAGATTTCTCTCTCTAAGGACTTATCTATAAGTGATCATTCGGGACTTACAGTACAACTGTGAGGGCCACATGGCTCTAGCTTTAGTCAAGTATGATGATCTTTTATAGATTGTTAGTGGTTACCTTCATGGCGCAAAAGGGGCTTGTCGAATCGGGTATAGTGCGGCCTCTGCCCTTATGTGTATAGCCTACACGGAATGTGCCATTAGGAAGGAAAGCTCTACATCTGTTTGCCAATTGAAATCCTAGCATCCCTAACTTGTTAGACGAACCTTTGAAAGACTTCATAGTGACCCTTGCTTGCTCACCTTAGCAATGTTTTGGGAGTTATAAATCCGGGCAAATGGGTACCACGACTCATAGTAAAAGTGTACAACCTCTACAAAGTATAAAACTGGTATATCAGTCGTGCTCACGGTCAGGAGCGGCCTTGGAACCATTATGGAATAGGTGATCACTATTAATTAATTGTTTATGCTATTCATTATTCATGTTTACCTGATAATGTATTTACATGGGCTTATGATAAACTTATTGCTACTCAAATTGCTAGAAGATGACTCACTAAAAGCTAATGTAGTTAAACCATTGTCAACGTTTTGAGTCTCATGTATCCCATATTATATTTGTTGAGTACGACATGTACTTACGCTTGCTTTACTTTTCAATACTTTGGAAAATCCTGGATGGGTACTAGATTGTTAGAGTCTGGTGGAGTTATGCTTGTGATCAACCAGTCCGTTGTCCCTGTGGTGTTGGTGACTACACCCAAAGATCGGAGTTGTCCGACCACTGCTTGTTGTCTATGGTTATATCCTTTAAACAAAGTACGTTATATATTAAGCATTGTCTTATAATATTACCTTTATTTATAGCTATATATGAGATTTGACTTTCTGGGCTCACATATGGTGTGTATCTAGTTTTATCCGTAAGACCGGGTGCTACAGATTAGGCCTATTTACCTTCTTAATGCTTGTCACGGGTCTAAATATGGGCCGCCGTGATGGGCTAAACGGGCCAAGCGAGGCCCAACGCCGGGTCCTGGCTAGTCGGAGGGCGGGCGCCACAACCCCGTAGGCCCCTCCTGCCAAGAAGAGTCCAGATTAGATGGAATTAGGAATAGATTTGAATAAGGTTGAGAATAAATAGAAATAGAGTTTGTTTAGGAAATATAATAATAGCCATAGTATTGGTTTGTTAGGAAAGGAGAGTCCAAATTTATAAGGACTCATCCTCTATTTTGTTTGGCAGTCAAGTTCCCTAGGGGCTATAAATATAGGGGTCACGTAGCCGTTTGGATCTTAAGCAAGAATTGAGCAGTTGCTCTCCCTCTCCCTCTCCCTGTGCTCTCTCCTCTCTCTCTCTCTCCTAGCGCCGTCCCCTCCCCTTTGCCCTAGCCGCCACCTCCCTCCCTCCCTACGCCTACACCAGCCACAACCCCCTAACGAGGTCCACCACACCTGGTATCCAGAGTGCAGACATCCATGCGCGACAGTGACACCATGTCAACGGAGGTGAAGGCGTGGCTTGAGGCCTTTGCCACTAACCTCACCAAGTGCATGGATAAGGTGCAGGAGCACCTCATCAATGTCGATGCTCATCTGAGCAACATGGAGCAAGGAGGCTTCAAGGAGGACGTCGGCACCGCAGCTATGGCCAAGGCGATGCTGGAGCACGAGGCCACCATCGAGGAGTTCGAGGTGGAGACACCACCATGCACCTCCGAAAGATCAGAGGAGGTGGACTATAGGCATGCCCCAAAACATCCGGCTGGTCATGCCGCTAGGGCGTTCTGCTCCACCATGCACCTCTGGAAGATCAGAGGAGGTGGACTAGGCAGAGTCCAACCTACCCATGGCCGCGTAGCTGAGCTTGGAGCTGGTGGGTAGGTTCCTTGTGCAGCTCGGGCGCTCCCTGTTGCAGGCTGCCATCGACCTCAATAACATTGTCAACGCTTCCGTGGATGTTGCCCTCAATGTATTCATGAAATGAGTGGAAGATATACATTCTCCCTTTTAAACTTTCAATTTTTTGCTTCTTGATTTTGTATAGTCCCATCTTTATCAGTTGTGATTGGCATATTTAACGTTAATTTTACGTGTTGTAGGGTGATGCTTCGTCATATCCCCAGGGACGATGCCATTCTAATATTGAGTTGTTAGCATGTTCCTAACATACTGTTGCACCTTTGCTTTTTCTGGATCGCAATGAACTATGCTCTCCTATTTGATAAATTGTCCAAATGACTTTTAAGTCTGCCGATGTCGAGTGAAGTGGTTGATAATTTATCTGCAATTTTTACATGAAAATTGTGCTATCCAAGAGATCATATCATGCTATAAGATGCTATAGTTTTGCATTAACATTTAGTAATATTGTATTGGATAGTTTGGATGTTAATTGATCTCAAATAAAAAACTAACTACAAAGTTAGACCTTGTTAAGCACTACAATTTTTGGTATTAGACGTGTCTGTATGGAGCTTGTTTGAAAATTTTAAAAATTTTAATATCAAAATTTGATAACTTAAAATAAAAAGTTGATACTCTAAGTGACCTCAAATAAATAACTTTTCAAATACAAAGTTATAGATCATGTCGACCACTATAACTTTGATATTGACTATTTGAATATTCGAGATTGTTTGGAAATTTTAGAATTTATATAAAAGTTAAAATATGAAAACAGAAAACACATATTTGGGACACTAAATTACTTCGAACAATAAATTTGTTGATCATAAAGTTGTAGATTGCATCGAGAACTACAACTTTGGCTCGACCACGTCAACATCAAGGTCATTCAAGAATTACAAATTTTGAATTTCAAAATCTAAGAAATAAAAATAAAAAATTTATACTCTAAATAATTTAAAATAAAAAATTTTAGCTATGATATAGATCTTGTTGAGCTTTATAATTTTGATATAAAGTTCGTCTTCATCCAACTTTACAGGCAAAAGTTACAAAAATTTTGACAACTATCTATAGAGACGGTCACCTCTGCTAATTGATTGTTATTTTCAATATACTATCTTTATTAATCAGACATGGTATTCTCCTACCCTGTAATGTCAGGCCTTGTTTTGTTTTTGCCCTTATGATGAGATATATGCTCTTTCAACCATTATACCTATGTCATTGGTTAGAGCTTTCGTATAGATGCAATGCCACCATATACCTCTACGTTCTTCTTCATAATTCCTATTATCCGGCTTCTTTGGATGGATAAGACACCCAAGGTCACGTGGTTTGAATTGTTATTTTTACAACTTTTTCAGCATATAAACATATCCCTTAGCTAGATTAATCCATGTGCCTAAAGTTAACAAAGTGTGGTTATTTTAACAAACGAAAGAGTTTTGCAATTTAGGTTTTATAACCATACTCTACAATGACAATTTTTAGAAAGTGAATTACATAATGCAAAGAGAGGGTTAGGAAGACTCGATTTTTTTTGGCAGGATGTAAAGTGTTAGTACTCTTCACTAGTCTTCGACTCTTGGTTGGAACAAATGTAACATTTCTTTTTGACGAGTCCATACCATTTTCTTTTTAAGAAAAAACAATATTAGTAATTTACAAGAACCGTCGTTCCATGTTTAAAACAAAATTATTCTAGATTCACTTAGAAACACTTAGAAATTATCAAATGGAAGAGAAAATTATTAGAAGAAAAGTATATTATATATTTTATGAGAAAAAACATTATAGATTCGTGAAAATATTCTATGTTGAAGTGAAAAGGGTTTCTAGCTTCATTAAAAATAGATGTTCAATAAAATTAAGAATATTCTATTTGCTTATTTACAATGTCCTAATAAATATTATTATTGGTACACTAATTTAAAACCAATTTTCTATTAACTATCGACGAAAATGTGTCACGGAGAGAATAAATACGAAATAAAGAAGAATATTTATTTCAAAAAAAAGAAATAAAAAAGAATATAACAAACAAAAAAGAGAAAGAAAAAATAATGAAAAAATTGCACAAACCAGGAGAAGGCCCGTGCGGGTGCGCTGCCCCTGGGCCGAACAACCCCGCATTCGGCTACGGACGTCGGCCGCATCCGTTCCTTCACCCTGCGTGCGCCACCCCCCTCTCTCTGCGACGAGCCGACCACTGCCGCCGCCGCCGCCCTACGCCAGGTGCTGTGGCCTTCGTCGGCCGCTTCTCCGGCGACGAGCTCCCACCAGGTATTCCCACCCCTTCTTTTCCCTTCACGCTGAACGAAACCGAGCACCGCACCCAAACCCTAACTCAAAACCTGGGGCCTACTAACTCCGAACTTTTTGCATGAATTATCGGGTGCACATGTGTACACCAATGTCCTGGTCCGCCCCTGGTTGCTGTTGCCTTGCGGACTGCAGTATGTGGCCCCGTTCTCTAGGATTCTTGTTACTTTCAGAATGCTGATTCTGCTTCCTCTGTCTGGTTTCAGAGTAAGCAGCTGCTGTCAAAGTGCACATGAGCAATGGTTTGTGTTGGGTCCAAGGAAATTAGACCCAAGGGGAGCACAAGAAATGGCTTGGGAGATGGTGGTTTAGATGAGAGCTCACACAAGAAGAGGGCAAGGAAGGATAAGAGCGAGAAACCCCGGAAAGGAGGTCACAGCTCGAGTAAAGGACCTTCTGTAGGGAAACCTCGGCATGGGAAGGATAGGAAGCAGAGGAGCGATGATGGGAAGAAAGGGAAAGGGCGAGGAAAGGACCATCATTCAGGAAGCTCTGTGATGGTGAATCCCAGGACCAGGAACCTCAACAATCAGGACGGGTTACCATCCTCAAATACATCAAAACCAGTACAAAATGTTCTTAGGTATGAGTATGAGAGTTTGTGCCTTTTGAATTTACCCATCGCTTTTAAATGTAGAGATGATGGCATAGTTTTTTATGTATGAAGAAGTTAAAGTGCTGATAGGCTTATTTTCTGATGATCAACAATGTTTAGGAAAAGAGTTGATCCTGAAACTACAAAGTACTTTATGGAGATCTCAAATCTCTTTGATAACAAGGAGATTGATTTTGAAGAGCGCTCGACTATATGCGCTAATGCCTTAGAAGAAACTAGAGGGAAAGAGCTTGAACTTGCCACCGATGCTGTTATAAGCCACACCTTGCAGGTTCTTATAGAAGGCTGTGAGTTGGAGCAGTTATGCACATTCCTCCGCAATTGTATCGACTATTTTCCGGTCATTTCCATGGACAAAAATGGGTCGCATGTGACCGAAGCAGCTCTCAAGTCACTCACAACACATCTTGAAGATGAAACCTCCAGGGCCATGATAGAAGGGATACTGAACAAAATATGCAAGGTATTCTTTTCTTTCACTGGCAGCCTATCTCATTCCATTTTCTTACAATGGACCTCAAATTTGAGTCATTGTTTCAGGTTATTTCTGCAGATGCTGCTAATGTGATGTCCAGCTGCTATGGATCACATGTTCTCCGCACTCTACTTTGTCTTTGTAAGGGTGTTCCGTCAGAGTCTCTTCAAGACTTCCACACTACTAAGAGATCTGCTGTTCTCGCTGAGCGGTTGAGTTGTGGGACAAATCAACCTAGTGGACATGTTCCAAAGAATTTTGAAAATGGTTTCCCAGGCATATTTAGGTCTTTCGTCAGAGAAATGCTACATAATGCAAAAGCAGACATTGCAACATTGCGAGTTGACAAGAACAGTAGCCTTGTTTTACAGGTTAGTATCATTGAATGGAATATAGTTCTGGATTTTGGTTACTGAGTGTCAGGATCTGGGGTTGGTCGGACACGAACAACAACTAAATCGAACAAAGAAACGATAAACTGGAGTAAAGGATAAACTAGGGTTCTAAAGCGAGAGATAAAAAAGGAAAGGTAGTTGGCAATTGTCTTCTTGCTTTTCTTCCTCTGGCTCATGGGATTTATTCCCTGCTACTTCCCGACATCGCACCATTACTTTAACTTTTAGGGCAGCAAAAACAGTTTAACCGAGTACAATAACATTTAAGGCTAACAACTGGTAAAATTTAAATAGAACTAGGACAGTTGGATCATTGGTAAACGAGGATCTACTGATCCCCGCCAAGTCTGAACTTCTGTTAAGTTTCTTTTGTATGCAGTTTTGTCAGAGAAACCTTGGCCTGACAGAGTCTATCTCTTAACATGTCATTCTGCAGACTGCACTGAAGCTATCGTCTGGTGATGATAATGAATTGCATCATATAATATCAATACTTCTTGGTTATGATGAATATAACACCGTACAGAAGAGAGATTGCAGTGAAAAAAAGGAGGAGATTGTTACTTTACTTGAAGAGAGTGCTTATAGTCATCTCTTGGAGGTATTTTTTGAGCATTTTTCCCTGCAATGAAATCAAATCATATATCCTTGTGTTTCCTTGTAATTAAGCCTCGCTCTACATTGATCTTGTGGTTCTTTCTTTCTTTTCATATCTGGTTCTTTTTTATTGGGTGTGCGAGAGTACACACACAAGGAGTTGTGGAAAAATCCTAATGATGATGCAATTTATTGTGCTGGATAATACTCATTAGGTGATAATAATGATTTGCAGGTGATTGTGGAGGTTGCCCCAGAGGAATTGCGCAATGGTGTGCTTGCAGGTAGTCTGAAGGGTGCATTATTTGCCATCTCATCTCACCACTGTGGCAACTATGTGGTTCAAGCTTTCATATCATCTGCTAAAACCTCAGATCAGGTATACAGACATGTGCAGGAAGTACCATTTGAAATGTTCTTTCAGCAAACTAATGTTCTGCGCTAAAGTAAATGCTCTGTTATCTATTCATGTTGCCCTGAGACATGGGAGTTTGTCAACAATTTGTATATCATTGCTTCATGTTGAAAAATTGGAGGCCACTGTAACATATCTGCTTTGTTGGATATTCATGACTGGTTAATGGTAGATCTTGGCTCTTGATACTGAACATTTGAAATGCATCCTGTATCATTCATTCACAAGTTATGTACAATCTCTTGTCTGAGCGGCTATCTTATTTTTTTGCAATAACCTTTGCTATAATTTCTTGACACTTCTGTATCTACTACTTACCTGCGAGGGGATATAGTACTTATGTATGTCAGAATGTGCTTATGTGAGTCCATGTGCCGAAATCATGCATAGAATGTGATTTGTGTTTTAGATAATTCTTCTACTTAACATTTCTAATTCCAATCTGGTTATAGTTTCCAATATGAGATTTTCTTTATTTCATTTTGATAATACTTTTATTTTCACTCAGATGAATCAAATATGGGAGGAACTTGGTCCAAAAATGAAGGAATTGCTTGAACTAGGTAAAACAGGGGTTGTAGCTTCCATCTTAGCGGCATGCCAGCGGCTTGAAACTTATCGCCTTGAGGTCTTCATTTATGAACTTTTTGTTTCTGCATCATTATTTTATAACTGATTTTCACTAAATATGTCTGATTCCTTTGTTATGAACTGCAGAGTACTCAAGCTCTCGCTGCAGCGTTAAGTTCAGATTCTGAGTCTCCTGATAGCATTGTTGCACGTATACTTTTTCTTGAGAGCTACCTACATGAGAGATCTTATTGGAAATGGACTCATGGTGCAAAGATGAGCATTCTGGGTTGCTTGATGCTGCAATCTATTTTCCAATACCCGCATGTATGTTGAAGTTGGTGTATTCTTTTTAAACCCCCCTGCTCACTGCCACATGGTAGCAATATGTCTCTGATTTATGGTGCATGCTGCTAACTGCACGTTGTTCTCTCCTAGTTTCCAAATTGTTTTTATGCTCACTTTGCTAGTTCTGTTTTTATCTAGCTTCAATCACTAAGATTTTTTAACTGTCTCTCCTACATTGTTACTCTTAATGAGTACTCGGTACCTTATTTCTTGAACAATATAGCAATACCTAGTAGTCTACATCTGGCTCTTGTCTCTCTGACATCTTAACTAATTGCTACCATTATGTTTAACATTCAACAACAACAACAAAGCCTGTCAGTCCCAAGCAAGTTGGGGTAGGCTAGTTCTTTTGGGTTTCATCTCCATACTAGTGGCTAAGTTTTTACATTGGCTCGCCAAGCCTAACACAACCCTCCTCCTTTATCAGGGCTTGGGACCTGCTATGCTAGAATACCATAGGCACCCCAACATAGGCAGAGTTACCATTATGTTTAACATTAGTATGGAAAAACCTGGATGGCTAAAACGTTGCTCTTGCATTCCTTTTCTTGTGCAGCAATATATTCGCCCATATATCGCAAGCTTGCTGGCCATCGGGGATGATCAGATCCTCCAAATTTCCAAGGATTCAGGAGGTAGCCGTGTTCTTGAGTCTTTTCTAGGTTCAAGTGCCACTGCAAAGCGTAAATTTAAAGTTTTTGGAAAGTAAGCCTCTTCCAAACACCCCAACTATTCGGAGACTATTTCATCACTTCCTCAAAATGTGTTCAGATAATGAATTCATATGATTCGTTTACGCATTGCAGTTTAATAAATGTTTGAGTTGCATGGATAGTGCTATAATATTTTCGTTTTCATTTTTGAGCAGTAATCATCATGGCAATAAGGCTATAAAATGTTGGTTGAATGTTTGGTTCAAGTAAAAATAGACTTGGTCCAACTAGTTTTACAGCCTCATTACCAAAAACCTTATTTGTCTTGATTGGGATAGAAAGAATAAATAAAAAATGTTTCACAAAGCTCAAATGTGTTCATGAGAATGCTAGGCTTTGCAGAACGGTAATTATGGTCAATTGATAGTCAGATACTAGTATTGAGCTACATATCCGTATCAGATATCCAACTTTGAGTATCCAGATTCGGATATGGTATTGGATATTGAATGTCTGGATTTGTATATCTGAACCCTTCGGATTCAGATACGGTCTATCCATTTGGTCTCTGAACCCCTTCGGACGGACGGATTAGACAGAAATTATCTGTCCTGTTTTCATCCCTGTATTGCATGTCAATCTTGTTTGTGATTTGTTAAGCTGAACCCTTGGCACCTGACTGTAGTTAACATCTCATTATTTCTGTTTATTTTATTGCTTTTGCAGTAGTTTCCACATTTTTGTAAATAGAAAACTGCAGACTTTGTTTATCTTAGTTTTCTAGATCAGTCTTCTTTTTTACCAGCATATGTATTATATGGCAGGTTGCAAGGTCATTATGGAGAGATTGCTATGAATCCTTCTGGCTCATTCTTAGTAGAGAAGTGCTTTACTGCCAGTAACTTTTCTCATAAAGAGGCTATAGTGGCAGAGCTGTTGGCTGTGCAGTCTGAACTATCTAAAACAAGACATGGGTTCCACTTGCTAAAGAAGCTGGATGTCGATAGGCAAGTCATATTTCCATTGTCCGCAAATGCACTTTGTCAAATAATCTATGCTATAGTACAATTTATTAAAAAGTTGTTCAGTCCTTTGCCCATGTTAACCGACTTATTGCCCTTTTTTTCACAGATATGCTAGGCGACCTGAGCAGTGGAGAGCTAGTCAAACTTCAAAAGAAACAACTCAAAAGAAGTTTGAGGCGGAATTTGGCTCAAACAGTAAATCTACTGGGCAGAATATCAAAGAAAAGTTCTCTCAAAGTCCCATGAAGAAACGTAAGCAGAAAGAGAAGGCTGACAGAATTACTGAGGATGCCAGGAGCAACAAATCAGATTTCTCTCAGAAAGAAAACAGTAAGAGGCCAAAATCTGCCAAGGCATCTTCTGAGAAAGGATCAAGTGGCAAGAACCCCCCGAGTGAAGGCGCTGGTGCTAGTGCCAGCATGGTGTTCTTGAAGGGCTCTGTCAAGAGGAAATCCCCAGGTTTCCTTTCAGATAAACCGAGCCTCAAGAAACAAAAACATCACAAACCTGTTTCTGGTAGACCAGATGGCAAACCTTTTGTTCGAGATAGTGGTACTAGCGCACCGTTTGTCAAGAATGCTGGCAAACAGAAACAGTCCATTGCTGAGCTCGCAGACCTGGCTGGTAAGGAGAAGCTGACTGCGTCTGAAGTTCGCAAATTGCTGAAGCCTGAAATGTCAGGCAAGAGCTAATGAGTTCCAAAACGCGTGGGCAGCTGAAGGAAATATAAATCAGGTCTTTTTGCCCCTGTTGTCCTTAGGTTGAGCAGAGGCAGCAATTTTGTTGGTCGTCTTTCCTCATATGTTGCGGAAAGAAACTGTAGCACGCGAGATGGGTTTTGTTTCAGTAGAGATGTATTCTTGATGCCTGTCTTGATACCGGTTTCTTTTGCTAATGAATCTGTTTGACCTAGCAAAGGTTTGTTTGATCCGCAGCTTGCTGATTTATATAGTACAAAACATGTAGAAAGATGGCAGCCCTGCCCAGGGCAACATTTTCCCTGGTAAGACCAAATAATATACTCAGTAATATGTTAGTGCAGGAAATGACAAGACTATCTAACCTAGGAGGAGACATGTCAGAACTGCAATGTGGGTACTAGAAACCAAGACACGAAGGAAATAATTACTCAGGAGTGGTTCGGAACATGTCATCCTCATCCATCCATCCGATGCAGATAACCGTGAAATCTGCTAATCCCGCTAGCTGCTTCCTTCACATGTGTTTGTCCCAACTCAGGTTCACTGCCCCCTGACAAATTGTTCTGCTGTATCGAAAGATTCAGTCTACATTCATACATGACCGCCCTGGCCCTCATGCCCTGCAGAGCGCGGTCCAAGATGTTTCCTGTCTCCTAGTTCAAAGCTTGTCCAGATCGACTATAAAATATTGTTAGGTTTTGAGGTAAAGCTTCAACTAATACTAGAACAAACAGAGTCAGGCAGTGCACACTGACTCTGAATCATAATAGCACGCCTCCAAATGTTGATAGCAAGTGCACAGAAATTATCCAATTGCTGGGGCATCTCCTGTGACAAATCTGTACTGTAGCATCTTTCCAGTTCAAGCCTGCCAGCTGCAGTTAGTCTATGCTCATCTGCCAGCAGCCACTGACTAGCTGAGCCATTTTCTCCTAGAAGATACTTGGTGATCCATTGCACTTGCACATCGCCATGGTCTGCTCTTAGCTGAGCTGTCCATCCATGACTGCTCATGCTCTCAACCATTTGTGAACTGTAGCTCTTCCTCCTTTGTTTCCGCCAGATGACGAAGAAGAGTTGCTTTGGGAGGGCTGCTTGTGCTCCCCACCAGGACCAGTCCAAGGTGACCTATGTGTACATTTACATGATATTCTTTTATCTCCATCAAAATCTTAACCATGCCATCAGTTTTTCACACATCTACATGATCCTGCGTCTCAAGTCTGAACCGTTGCCAATTCTCATGTCAGATCAGGGGAGAAGCAAGCCAAGCAACGAAACATAGACAGAGCAGCAGTTCAGGCCCAAACGCTCATCCAAAGAAGACATGGAAGAAGTACCTGACGTTCCTGTCCAAGTTTCAGAACAAGATGAAGCACAAGAAACCAGACGCCAGGGCACCCAGCAGCTTCAAGCAGGGGAGCCCTAAGCGGTCCAGCAGCGCAATGCTGGAAGAGTGCGTCAATCTGGTCCGCGTGATCCGGCGCACGGCGGCAGATTGCTTTGCGTCTGCGGTGGCTGGCGGAGATGAAGAAGACGAGCTGCCTTGTTACATGCAGCTTGACCAGGTGAGCTACGGGGTGAAAAGGGAGGCCTACGGTCCTATCTACCTGGTCACATAGACGTACGTAGCTTGGGAATGAAGTCCCTGTTTCACTTCACTTCATGTGCTATTGCCTCAGTTGCCTCCATGTTCAAGGCGTCATGGCAATCTTCTTGGTTGCCGGACAAAATCATATCATATATCTTCAGAAATGCTGCTACCATGTGAAATAAAGTCATCATCTGACTGAACTGAAACATTCCTTGTCTATGCGTCAATGCCTGTTCATCTGCGTCTTCAGAATCGGTTTCAAATGGCGTGATCCTTGCCTCTTGCATTCTTCCAAACTTGGAAACATTAATACTACCATCCCTTGAACTTAAGGTGATTGTCGAATGGTAGGGTCGACTGGACGGAATGATGTTACTATCTTTTTTCTTAAAATAAAAAAGAAGAAGAATGAGAATGCATGCCTATGAAATTCCGAAATTAGTCATGCATTCTCATTTAGGGCGATATAATCACATGAGCTATATATACTATATATCTATAAGAAAGACATTTATAGTGCCAGTATCGTGCCAGAGATATAGTGAGGAAAGTACACAACATAAGAGCTTTCATGCACACAAGTACATCTTTTTTCAAGAACGTTTCCGTTGACACTTGACACGTGTTTCATTAAGAGGAGTCACATAAGTACATCTTAATCATATGAACTCTTGTACTTTAAGTTATTCATTGATTACAGCAGTGAGCAGGTGTTATTATCATGACAGTTGCAATATATAACAGAAGGATATAAACGAGAGAACAATCATAGTACAATGCATGAGTCGTCTTTCACCCATTTATTTAGGAGTAGTAATTTTCATAGTATAATAGTAGAGCAAAGCGTATATATTTATCAATTATGCAATGATTTCGTATGCAGATGGGAGCAGCCTGGGGACAGGACGAAGCATCAACGGCACGGCCCGCTGCAAGAGCAGAGCGAGTGCCTCCTCCTCCATGACGAGGTCGCCCGGCGTCTGCCCCGCCGGCAGCTCCCAATCGAACGCGTGGACCAGAGTGGCGCAAGCGAGCGCGACCATGCGCGTGCCCCAGCTTCGGCCCGCGCACACCCTTCGCCCGGCCCCGAACGGTATGAAGCCATATCCATAGTGCTCAGTCTCACTGAACCCATATCCACCTGGGCCCGGGAGGAAGCGGGAAGGCCGGAACTGGAGCGGGTCGGGCCACAGGCCGGGTCACGGGCGATGCCCCACACGTTGACCAGCAGCTCCGAGCCCTTGGGGCCGTGGAACCCCGGATTTTTTTTAACATTTTTTTTAAACTATTCTTAACTCTAATACTGTTTTTTTTCTTCAAAAGTAACACTTTTGGCCGCGCCTTTTTTCAGGGCGCGGTGAAACAACTCTGCCGCGTCATGCATGGAGGCGCGGCAGGGGTGCGTACGTGGCAACGTCCCGCCCCGCTGGTCGCTGACATGGCAGGCCTTGTCGCTTCACCGATCAGGGCGCGGCTGTGACGCTCCACCCGTCGGGGCGCGGGAGAGCCAAATAGAGGCCCGCGGTCTAGTCCCTTTCCTCCCTCTCTGTTTCACTCCGCGCCGCACAGCACACGCCTCCGTGCCGCCCAGCCCTCGCCGCCGCGCCTGCCAGCCCGCACCGCCGCGCCATTGCCTCCCGGCTCCCCCACGGCCGGCCGCGCCATTGTAGTAGAACTTTCTTAGTGTTGTATTGTGTTTTATTTCAAGTATTTATGTATTGTACCCATATAATAAACACTGTTTAATTTTTATAATGGACATTGTGTTATCTCATAAAACTTTCGCCACAAAAAATGGTATTACAATGCTGCAATTTGCATGTATTTGTTACGTTCTCAGTATATAATGCTTTTGCTTTTGTCATTATCACACATTCGGGGTATTACTTTTGGGTCTTAGTTTGGTGCCCATCTTGTCCAAACATTATCTAGAAGACTGTTCTCACCATTACGATCTTTCGAAACCCCCTAAATTATATGCATCAAAATCTTGCTGCTGCTGATGAGCTCAGAAGGGAGTCTAGCCAGCACCCAGCATGGGTTTGCCGCGCTACCGTCCACGGCGTGGCTAGGCTAACGCGCCATCTGCCATGGCGCGGCAAGGCTGACACGCCCCCAGCCATAGCGCGGCGGTCAAAGTGGCAATAAATGGAACAAGGCACTTCTGTTATGTTCTCACATGAGCCAAGTTATTTCGTCGTGTCGGTTTAACGAATAGGTCAGCGGGAAGGTTAAGTGCACGAGACAATCAATACACAAGTTCAGCAATACTAACTTGTACATGTCCCAAGTTCATCGCAAGTTTGATAATACCTCTGTTCGACATAAGTTTAGCAAGTCATAACTACGACACAAGTTCATCAATACATAAGTTTGACATTACTCGACATACTACATGTTCCATCAGTATATGGGTGTCCTAGTGCAAGTGCATCATGTCATCCTAAAGAACTCTTATGACCTAGGAGTATATGGGTACTGCGGACGTCGCTGCCTCTTCGAACGTGAAGGTAGCACGTTAGGGGTGAACCCAACGTCGGTACGGTTTTGCTGGCGGTACACCCGGCGGTACTGCTGAGTGTAACTAGGACCCTGCAATTACAATATAGACATCGTTACTTACAATATTCAAGTAATTATGACGTATATGGCGAATGGTTGTTTCAAGTACCTGTTCGTCGAACTGTGTAGGAAATGGTGCATCACCTAGCTGAGACATCCCAATCTCATCGTAGTCCTCCTCCTCGTCTTTGTCCTCGTCCTCCTCAACATCGTGCTTCGCAGGACCCTTGCTTGCATTGCCGGGAGTACGAACATAAGAGGTCCCACCAGCCGTCGTGTCGGAGGAACCTGCTCGTGTTGGCATAGTGCTCGAACATAAGGAACTAGACAGGTTTGGGTCATAGGGCATCTTGCACGGAGTATCCACGCAGCTGAGCTTCTGGGCCAGCTTCTTGCAGCTCCTCCTCACTTTCAGCAAAAAAAGAAAACACGGATGAATGAGTCATGGGAACCATTTAATCACTGTCATGGCTTTGAGAATAGAACGTACATTGACGAAGACGTGTAGAATGCCGTGCGGCTCCTGATAAGAACCCGCTAGGGTTTGTGGACGATCTTTCGATGAGAGGCGTGAGATAACTCGATTTGGTGGATGGAGATGACGTTCATGGCCCGACTACAGCCTTCCAAGACTGCGCCTTAGCAACCGATACACCACCTCCAAAGGCCGTCACGATCTTGTAGAGCGCGACAACCAGCCACTAGGGCTCCCGTCCTGCAAGCAATCAAAGAACTAGCAAGAACAAGGAAACAAACACTGAATTTGCAAGATGAAATTGAAAACCTCAAACTGATCTTATTATGAGTGGGGTTCCAAAGACAAGGAGACGGTAATTTGGATCAAAGACAGCAGCGCCTACAAGCAAGTAGCAAAGGCTAAACTTGATCTAAACAAAACCCGAGTGTCTTGGTGGCGGCCAAAGGGTATATAACATGGGGTGGACGACCAACAAGGCGTTTGGGTCGTACTCCAACCCTAAGACACGTCCCTAATGGACCCTAAGACGATACACAGCCCATCGGACTAAAATAAGGTGACGTAGCACCCTAGACATAAAGACCTCTCGACGGTAATTGAATAATTGCCGATGCTGCCGAACATATATGGACATGGAACTGGTTCCATATGAAAGTAGACTTGATAAGCTTTCCAACAAGTCCTAAAGCGCCCGAATCCGACTCCGTATGCAACCGTGGTGATGGTCACAAGTTGGTCCTTTCTGCAGTCCGAATCCAGCCATCGCGAATCCTTCTCCCTTTCGGTCTTCTCCTTGGTTCCTAATCAAAACAAGAGTGCACGCATTTCCAAGATCTAAACAAGATGGATATGAGCTCAAGAGGCAACTCACTTGATGATTAATTTTACGAGCACGAGCACGAGTAAGAGGACCAGCGATAGGTATGCGGTGTGGCGCAGCGGATGCGTCGTCGGTGTTGATGTCCTCATCATCCTCCCCTTCTTGCATTTGAGTCGTCCTCGACTCAAGCTCATCTTCCTCACCCAAATATGGCTCTAAATCTGCAATGTTAAATGTGGGACTAACCCTAAAATCTCTTTGGAAGATCAAGTTTATATGCATTCTCATTAATCCGTTGTAATACCCTAAATGGTCCATCGACTTTTGGCATCAATTTAGACTTTCTCAATGCAGAAACCTCTCCTTTCTCAAATGCAACCAAACCAAATCTCTAGGTTCAAAATTTATTGCTTTTTCGACCTTTATCACCAGCAAAGTTATATTTAGCATTCATACGCTCTATGTTTTGTTTAGTTGTTTCATGTAGTTTCAACATTAATTCAGCTCGTTGTTTAGCATCAAAATTTAATTTTTACGAAGTTGGCAAAGGCATTAAATCAATAGGAGCACGTGGTAACAAGCCATAAACAATCTCAAATGGACACATCTTTGTTGTAGAATGCATTGAACGATTATAAGCAAACTCAATATGAGGCAAACAATCTTCCCACATCTAAATATTTTTCTTTAAAACAGCCCTTAACATAGTTGATAAAGTTCTATTCACAACTTCGGTTTGACCATCGGTTTGGGGATGACAAGTGGTAGAAAATAAAAGTTTAGTCCCCAATTTAGCCCATAAAGTTCTCCAAAAATGGCTAAGAAATTTAACATCTCGATCAGAAACAACTGTGTTTGGCATACCATGCAAACGAACAACTTCGCGAAAGAACAAATCAGCAATATGTGTGGCATCATCAGTTTTATGACAAGGTATAAAGTGTGCCATTTTCGAAAATCTATCCACAACCACAAAAACACTGTCACGGCCCTTCCAAGTCCTTGGTAATCCCAACACAAAATCCATAGAAATATCTTCCCAAGGAGCATTAGGAACAGGTAGAGGCATATACAAACCATGTGCATTTAAGCGTGACTTAGCCTTTTGACATGTCGTGCAGCGAGAGACAAATCTCTCCACATCTCTTCGCATCTTTGGCCAAAAGAA